ACGATGATGCAAAATCTACTTCGAAAAATGATGCATTTCAGTCCCACATCTAGCTAGAGAGCTGAAACTTTGGGAAATTATATATCATAAGTAGATATACATATAATAAAAATTTTAGCCGTCTACATTAAGAAAAAATATGAAAAATATCTTTAGCCATTTATATTCAGTTATTATAGGGCACCCTTTATAATAAAATTATCTCTGTGGCATGCATTAACGAGGGAAAATTTTCGGATGATCCACTTCGTTTACCTTCATATTGTGTCCATATGTAGGAACTAATGAGATTAGAATCATCTCCAAAATTTTTGTGCTCTTATTGAGATTTGACAAAGATATCGAGTTTTTAGCGAATTTTTTCTGTAGGAGGTCAGTTTTTGAGCAAAATTTTATCTTCAAATTTCGCTCCGAAACTTTGTCAACATGAAGGTTTTGCTTAGACTAGCTCATGTATACAGTTTTATTGATTTTAGACATTGCATCTTCAAGATATGAATCTTTCAAAACAAAGGCGACAGTCTTTCGATATTTTAAAGCATGAATATTTTGAAGGGCTCATATCTCAGAGATACAATATCTAAAAATAATGAAACTTTATACATGAGCTAGTCTAAGCAAGACCTTCATGTTGGCAAGGTTTTAGGTCGAAATTCCCAGATATGACTTTGCTCTAAAACTAACCTCCTACGAGAATAATCTGCTAAAAACTCGATATCCTTGTCAAATCTCAATAAGAACACAAACACTTTAGAAATTATTCTAATTTAATTAGTCCCTACATATGGGCATAGTATGAAGGTAAACGAAGTGGATTACTTGGGGACGTTTCCTCGTCAGCCATTTATTGGGTAGAGTATTTTCTTTTCGTTTATCATCAGCAAAAAGGAGATATTTTCTGTTCAAGTATCCTATTGTTATTCTGCAAAATTATATAAAAGTGTTCTACTATTGTTCTCAGAAAAATAGAAGTTTCGAAACAAAAAAAATTATACATTGGCATCAGTATCAGCGTCGATGTAATCAGTGCCAGTGGATCAGTGTGTCGATGGACACTTTCGATTTTGCACAAATCACATTGTCCTAATAGTAGCTTTAGTTCATTCAAAAAATGTAGAAAATTTAATTAAAACACATGCCTTTTCACATGGATATTTAAGAGGAATCATGATAGTTCCGTTCGAGCGATTTCAAGAGCTCTCAGATGTTTTCGCATTCCATCATGAATTTCATCTTATATTAATGACAAGAAAAACTGTAAGACAGAATTTGTAAAAACAAAATTTGCCTCAGCAATATTCTCCATATGAACCAGATTTAAATACGATTTCAGAGAAATACTGTTGACATTTGAAAAATGTTAAGTTGCCATCGTAGCATTAGTTCGTTAAAATTTGAGAACAAACATCCTTGTATATAGCTTGTTGAGAATTGCATGGGAAACCACTCGACAAAAATTTCAATGAAAAAAAAAGCTCAAAACGTAGGGAGGGCGAGAGCAGATGCTGCATACGGAAAAGACAGAGAACGGATAGGTAGGCCCAGATGAGAAAATCGGCGGTGCGCGAAAAAGAAGCAGAGAAATCCTTTCGTATCATTTATCTCGATATAAGAATTTCTATGTCAGACTAACATTCGAACTATCATCGAATGCAGACATTACTTAACAAAAAGCAGTTGTATAGAAGAAGTTTAATTCAATTTTAGTTTCATCTAGAAAAATCTATTTTAGCTCTGTCTGTGTTCAAATATCTTGTATTTGAAACAAGCCTTTCACTAATTCTTTTCTTACTCTATTCAAAATCATTCTTCTTACCTCTGCCTTGCTCACACAAATAGATATTCTTGTGTCTTAATTGAACACTTAGAAATGGAATCTGTTCGTCATTTGAATCTTTCATTACTCCATTGGTCACATCACGTAATATGTTTACAATGTCTTCGTTCGGAGTGGTAATGTGTTCCAGAAGATGCTTCATAAATAAACTATTTTTGTCTTTTGGTTTATCATCTACGAATGTACCAGGTGCACAAGCAAATGCAATCAGTGCACCTGCTTTATGCATTGCTGCTAGGCCAGTTGATTTGGAATTGCTCGTGTTTGAGTTAAAACCACGTCTATTTAAATCAGGATTTCGTAAAATATATTCTCTACAGCAATCCAAGAGAAATATTGTTACATATGGTTTTCGATCACTCAACGTGTTAAGAATATCTTGTGCATTGACGGCTTTCATTTTTAAAATGCCAGCTATCTCTTTTAAATCTGCTTCATTTATTTCAGGAAATTTAGGAAAGTCTTTTGGCATTAAATAATTTTGATCCTAAAAGTGACATACATAAAGCTCATGAAAATACGAAATAGCCTAATGGTAAAAGTCTTAATACATACCTCCCATTGTATCCCATGTCCAGCAAAATAAAATAGGACCACATCATTCGGTTTTATTGAGAGTTCAAAATCAAGAACCTTACGATTTACCTCAGCATATGTTTCGGCCAATGATGATGAATCAATAATAAAGCCAATACTTTGCAAGAGAGATGACAGCTTTTCCGCATCATTCTTTGGGTTGGTTAATTTCGAGTAATTTTCATAATCATTAATGCCAATTACAAGTGCTAACCTACGTCGTGGTCCAAATGCAGCATCAGGTGTTGCTTCCGCCGCCATTGAAAATAACATTAGTCTGAAAAATACATTTCGTATGAAAAGATATGTCTGGGTAGAAATCTTGACGTAAGGATAAAAATTTAGGACGTTTCAAAAACATTAAATATGAGGCTACCTATGGAAATATTTTTGTTCATGGTACGCTAGATGCTTTCACTTCCTTCTATTAACTAATGAAACAAATTAAAGCTAACACTTTGTTCGGCAAGGAATCCATGGCTTCAGTAGTGCAGGGATAGAAAAAAAATACAAGGATAAACTTCAACTGAATCGATCAAACTTTGTTCAGTCTAAAGAAAAATGTACCAGTTTGGCGATCATATTCATTTTATCATAAAAATGAAAACGCCTACACTCTCGACTCGTCTTCAGATCATCATCAGATACCAATAACAAGTATGAAAGAAAGAAATTAGATCATATATGTGGTGAGTACAATTTCTTCATCAATGTTTTTTTGTTTATTTTGAAACACTGCAATATAGGGTGGAGATACTCTTTGTTGAATCATCGATATTGTAGTAATTCTAACGAGAAGAACAAAACATGGATAAAGAGATTGTACCTAATACATATATAGTCTAGTTTTTTCTTTCATGCTCGTTGTTTGTACATATGACAAGTAACGCGACGCTATCGTCGCTAATCCTCTACTGAAAGGACTCAGGGTAGTTCATTATGTAAGATAAGAAGAGAAATGCTAGATGATTTATGTTCACATATGCATGGTGAACAGCAACATGAAATATGGTCACCTTAGTAACAATGTTACTAGGTTGAGTAAAACAAGTTACTACTAAGTAGTTAGCGTTAATAGTAATCTAATAGTGACTATTGATCTAGACGTGGCTGAATGTAAGACTCATCCTGCAGAGTTGGCCTGACCAAGGTTTTTGGTGTTACGAAAAATCGCTAATTTTTCAGAGTTTCCTTTGCATGTAATGAAAACCTCATGAAAAATAGTCATTACGCCATACTCATGCCCCACGTGTTATGATACGTGTTAACACACAAGATCATATTATCCTTTTTATATATCTTCTTCGTATTTTCTTCTCTTTACTCACCTGTATGTCTTTTCCTTGTTCTCCTCTTCTCTTCTCTTTGTTCTTTTTTTTGTATTTTACTGATATGAGTAGCGCGTCTTTCAGCAATTTTCAGTTAGTGTGTAAAATTATTATGTGTGCATCTTGAACCTGCAATAAAACAAGTTATAAAACAACTAGAACTAAACATACAACTTAACACCACGTTAATGCCTTAACTTTACGGGTTTACAAGTATGAATGATAAGAACAGTAGATATTATTTATGCTTTTGTTCGTTCACGAATACAGTTTCTTCAAGAAAATAACTCAATTACCACATGCTCTACTTATAGTGAAAAATTACATTTACAACCCACAAGATTCCATTGGTCGGCCAGTCCTGAATATTCCAAAATCGAATGATAGCTGTTTTTAACTTGCAAAAGAAACTTTCAACGACGCTACAATCAAGAATTAGAGAGATGAATATCATTTCAGATAATTATACTTGTACTTATCAACTTATGGATGAACGTAGGAAAACGAACACGACAACTATTATGGGTGATAAAACACCTATCTTAAAATCTTAAAAATTACATTAACAAATATGTACATAAAATATCAATGACGAATACGCTACGTCTCAGCGACGTGACGCTTCTCTTATTCATTTTCAATTTTGCATAGTCTGCATACGACTTCTGTTATAGCTCCTCGTATAGCTCTATACCTCCTATTTCATGTACAAACGATCAAATCTTGATGTTTTAAATATAGTTTCGGAAAAGACAAGAAAGTAATACAATCACAATGGTCATCTGATAAAAATGCATGTGCATTCAACAGTTTATGAAATAATTGAAGCATTTACTCGTGTTGACTTATTTCGACACTGAATAATTTATATTGGATTGTGATACATATATTACTAATTCTTTTATTCACCTTTTCAATTTCTCCTTCAAGAATATACCGTTTTCTTTTGGGTTTTATTGAATGCATCTACTTTCATTGTGCAATCTTATGCTATTAGAAAGCCAGGTTTCATTAATGTACAGCACTGTCTTTTAGACACCCTACTGCAGCTATTTTTGATGGAAATGAAGCAAATTTCATTAAAAAGTTCGATTTTTATCAATCTGATAGCTTTTTTCTCGTCTTGATACTCTTGCTGATTATTCGTTAAAAGTATTGCTGATAGAGTCTCATTTGAACAGCAAAAAATCCAAACAACAATACTACAGAATTTTTCAATCACATTTATTAGTGTAATACATTGTTTTTATTAGCTTTTTATTCGAACAAAATATCATAACCATCTAATGATAGGTATACAAATTTAATTTGTTCTTCTGAAGGTCTTCATTTTTAATGAATGACATTAATCTCATTATATAAATTTCGACTTTCAATACCAATTTAAGTTTTCTATGTGAGCTTTTTTTCAATATCTTCATATTACCTGATACAAAAATTCATATTTATCTTCCGTCATTTGTGCTATCATCAGTATCTATACTGATGTATTGAAAAAGTAAAACATTGCTAATGTAAAAATATCGACAGTGGAATAAGACTACTTACCAGCCGATATCGAGATATGTTTATTTTGTAAGGTGAGTCTGCAAGTGATATTACTTGGTATTTATGGTTGTTGGTAATTTTTTGTTTTTTCTAGCATAGAATGTTTACCTGAATCAATCAAGTGTGACTTTTTTATTTGGCAGCTTCTTTTTTCTACATTAATATATATCGTTCTATGTACAACACGTGCCTGGCGTATGCTTCCTCCAATTTTTGTTTTGGGTTTTTCCCCAGTGAAAAAAAAACCAAGCGACCGGTATCTTACCATTTTTATTATATATTTAAGATGAGCAGGAGAGAGACTGTAACCATATAAGGTTTTTCACATGTACATAGGATGGCAAAATTATAGAACCCCCTACACTCAATGTAAAAAATCTAACTTTTCATTTTGAGGGGAGGTCTGTCTGCTGAATATATATGTTTGGTAGAGACATGAATATATATGATATACTGATATGCCTTTATTCTTTCTTTTCTTCTTTTATGCACGTGCAGAAATCGATAGAGAAAAAAGTGCTGTGGCATAATTATAGTACCCGTTCGATTCTTTTTTTCTTCTTTTTATTTTCGATACGTATTTCTTTTTAATACATAGAAAGACTAATAACGACAAGCAAAACCTCGACGATTGATCACTTGTCGGATTCTTTTTGGCATGGATTCAAAGAGCTTTCGTACTGTATCATTTGAGATCTCCAGTCATGCCATTTGCATTGCGTTTTTCAATTGTTCAGTATTATTAATATTAAACTTAAGAAGTTTATCATCGATCATAGACCAAATATTCTCTATTAAATTTAAATCAGCACTATTTGCTGGC